TTTCTCGATATAGATCTGCTTTTAAGACAAATGAACAAATTTGAGTATTACATTCAAAAATCTTTTGAGAATATGGGCTATTTTAAATCGATATACAATTTATATTAGATTAATTTAGAACCATATTTATATTGTGTCTGATTTCTTAGGATGAATTTTTTAATCATAATAGTTACACTAAGTTTTTACTTAACCAATTTTATATCTTCTGTATTTTTAATAATCTTTTTAAATGTCGTGTTAATGTATTGTGTTATTTATATGCTTAAGTACTTAATATTTAAAATTTCTAGAGATTCTTGACTGCATTTGATTGTAAGATTAACTGTTTGACACTGTATTTTAAGTGCAATAAATTTTACTCTAATGATTATTTTATTGATAATATAACCTTAATAATAATAAAACTATATATATATATATATATATATATATATATATATATATATATATATATATATAATATATAGAAAATTAGTTAAAACTAGTTGTGGTAACACAGTTTAAAAGACAGTGTAATATTGTGAAAAAGAAAAAGCTGAAAACTGTAAGTTATTGCATCTTTTTTATAAATAAATGCTTCAAATTCCAAACGTATAAATGATCAAACAAGTCGATTCTTATCAATAGATTAAATTTATCGACAAAACAACCAAAGAAAAAAGACAGTAAAGTTTAATTACCAAGCCTAATTTAATAATAATAAAGGAGACCACACACGTAATACAGAAATAAAAATTAAAAATTATGAATGCAAACGATATAAATAAAATATTAACCGAAGTAGCGAAAACAAGAGAAGATGTAGAACATTTAATGAAATCTTTTAAAGAAGAAATTGATGGTCTGAAAAGAAGCATAGAAGCAAGAGAAACGAGAATTATTATGAATGTTGAAGGTTTAAATAAAAAAGCAAAAGATTTAGAGAAAGAAAATTTAGAGTTAAAAAGTAAATTGGAAAAAATAGAAAGAAAATCCAAGGAAAATTCAATTTTTATCTATGGATTAGAATTGAATCAAACAGACATTTCTGCTGAATTCATTTGTGAAAAGCTGAGGGAATTACTAGATATTAATATTTATTTGTCTGATATAGACAACTTTATCTGGTTTAAAAATTCTCAAAACAACCCGATTAAAATAGAATTAGTGTCAAATATAAAGAAAAGAGAGGTTCTTAAAAATTGTAATAGATTGAAAGGAACAACCATAAACATATCTCACGACTATACCCAAAATCAAAGAGAAGAGCAGAAAATATTAAAATACCATCTTAAACTTGCCCGACAGAATTCCAATACTCGAAGCTACATAAAGGGCAATAAACTATTTGTAGACGGAAGTTCTTACTCTTTAGAAGACTTGCAAGATACAGAGGAAAACATACACCAAACAAATAGTGAACCGAATACACCAAGTATCAAAAAGACGACTGAAGCAGAAATTCAGTATTTGAAGAAAAATCAATAGGAACACCCAAAAATCCATCCAATTCGATTAAGAGTAACAACACAAAGAAGAATATAGAAAAAGAAGTGAAAAATAAGTCTACTGAGAACCAAAAGTCAAGGCAGTTTTCTAGGTTACGTTCATCTAATAAATAGGTGTATTTAATACTAATATACCTGTTTATTAAAGTTTTAACATGGATCCATTTATACGTAATTACAATAACAATGAAATTAAAGCTCAAACAATCAATACAATATTAGAATTCAATCATATTAGTAAAAATAGCAATTTACCCTTAAAAATACTGCATATGAATATCCGAAGCGTCCAAAAAAACTTTGACGAATTTATTGTTTTTTTAAGTCATTTTACATCTGATTTTGAAATTATTATTTTAACGGAAACTTTACAGCTCCTTGATTGCAATATATTTCAAATACAGGAATACGAACTCATATATAGTAGAGGTAACTTTAACAGAAATGATGGTGTTATTGTTTATGTAAAAAACAATCTAAACTATAAATACAACATTATTAAGATCTCTGAAATGACAGCAATCGAATTAAACATCTACGGAAAAAATGAAAATATTAAAATCGTTTCTACATACAGATCACCAAGCTCATGCCCAAAGGTATTTAATTCATGCCTTAACAATTATTTACGCAATACAAAGAGGTCGGACATTAATATTTTTGCAGGAGATATTAATATCGACTTATTAGTAGAATATGATTATGTTTCGGAGTACAAAAACTTACTTAACACGCATGGATATGTATCATATATAAACCAAATCACAAGACGTCACAGTAAAACGTGCCATGATCATTTCTTTATTGAAAATTCACAAAAAAGTAAACATAAACTTAGTTCTTACATTTTTAACTACGAAATAACTGATCATAGTCCCATTGCATTAATATTAGAAAATATCAACTCTTCAGTTAGTTCCACAAATAAACAAAACACAATGTTCAAAAAATATACTGATTACATACAATTAAAACAAAATTTAAAAAGCGAAAGCTGGATCTCTGTTTATAATTCCACAAACATAAATAATACAACTGAGGAGTTTATCAATACACTACAACGAAATATTGACGTAACAACTAAGGAAGTACAGATTCGAAAAAAATCAAAAAATAAAAAGCCTTGGATCAATTTAGAATTATTAAAAGCTATTGAAGAAAAAAATAATTTGTATAAAAAATCTAAAAAACACCCCAGTGACATAAATATCAGTAACGAATATAAATTATCCAAAAATTATCTCAGCAGATTATTAACAAAAGCAAAAAAGAAATATTTTAATGACTTAATTGATAAAAATACTTGCACTTCAATGGCTCTTTGGACATGTGTCAAAGAATTGTGTGGTTCAACAGTAATTAAAACAGAAATTGAGCAGATAAAGACAGATGATAATTTAATAACAGATCATGGACAAATTGCAGATCTATTTAATAACTATTTCAGTGATTTGGGAAAAAAATATGCTGAGAAAATTGATACACCTCTCAATTATGTTGAAGACATTGATTATGTAAAAAATAGCATATATTTATTTCCAACAAATGAAGATGAAGTCATTAAAACTATACATACACTAAAAAATAAAAAATCGCCAGGTATAGATACCCTCAGATCAGAATTGTTAAAAGAAGTTGCAGAACAAATTGCTAAACCACTGACTTATATAATCAATAAATGTTTCAGAATGGTTATACAAAATTGGATAATAAGAATAATATATAGAAGGGGTATAAGATCTTCAGTGGAGCATTTATTCACAGACAGTCATTTCATGGATTTAAACCAGTTGTACTCCTACAAAGCATTATTATATTTACACAATGAGAAATCATTTCTGAATTTTACCCACCATACATATCAAACCAGAAATAGAAACTTAACGATATTAGTACCAAAAAAAGGAAAAACCATTGGCCAATGATGCATTGATTTTTTGGGTCCAAAAATGTTTAATTGCTTACCATCTAACATCAAAATTATAAACAACTATAAAAAATTTAAAAAAAAATTAAAACAATGGATCCATGGTAATAGATATAAATTGTATGAATTAATAAACAGCTATTAATGAGCTTCAATTTCAAATAAATGTTATATTTTTAAATTTTATGTTATGTATGTTATGTATATTAAACAGTTTGTATGTTACTACTAAGAATTTTTACAATTGTAATTTGTGCGAATATGTTAAAAAAAAAATCAACCCTCACGTACAAGTTGTAGTCCATGTGACACACAACTTCTGTGAGTAAATGGGTTTATTTATTGTATAAAATATGTAAATTTATACTGTAACACATTACTTTGTTATAAATAAACTCTATTATTATTATTATTAGGTATATATAAGGTTTTATTAATTTAATTTCCCTAAAAATATTTCTGTAATGAATTGAAGTTTTCAAAATATCAGTTTCCTAAAATTCAAATTAGTTTAATTTTCTGGTAGACCTTACAGCTGATTATCGGACTACCAACGTCATAGAATGCGGTGTTGCCTTTTTTACTTCATGGCTTGGAAGTAAAGGTGGCTGTGCCATTATCTATAACGACACAGCAGCGGTGCTCTCGAGTCAGGAAGTGTCTGTGTCCTGAGCTTACTTCCAAATAGTTTTTAAGAGTCTTTTGTATTTGTACATAAAAAAGCAGAATAAATTAAAATAAGGAATAAATGGGACTCCAGATTATCAGAAGAAAAAGAGCATCCATTTAGTTTTTAAAGCAATTTTTTTCTGAGAAAGAAATAATTCTCAGAAAAATATATTAAAACAGTAGTTTACAAAAAGTAAAAATATGTTGCCAGTGAATGTAAATGATTGACAAATGCAAAACTGATTCCTCAGACATGTTGATAACTGTTCAGTCGAAAATCGAAACTTGAATTCTTTCAATTACTTGTTTAATATTATTAGGACTTCCCGTGGTTTTAGTAAAGAACTCAAGACCGTAAATGAAACTATTTCATACTTCTATGTAAATGTAAAAATATAAAAAACTTAATTCTTTGTAATAATGAAATAAAAATAAATGTTACAAATATATTAATACATGTTGCTTGTTCAACGTTTTTAAACAGAATGTCTTCGCCAACAGGAGGGTTGATTTCAGTCAGATGTATTCAAGATAAGCCGTTGCTGGGGCTTGTTGAACACAAGCTGTCGCCGGGATGAAACTTTGCAAAAGACGACAGGGGCGTCATCAGATCATTTAGGTTTTAACAAAACAATTAAAAACTCTTATTAATATCAGATATAATAGCAGAATGAATATTCAGAGAAAATTAACTTTGAGAATTATACATTAACATAATATGGGTTAAAGATACGTACATATATAGACCACGAGAATGCTAAAAAACATGCAACAAGTTTAGGGTTTATGTCAAAAGTATGTTACATTGTTTGAGAAGATTACATGCCATGATCTGGATTAAGGATTATAAGGTATTAGTCATGTTCTACCATTTTTGTATTCACTAAACATAAAAATAATACAAATATTCTTACTTCTTAAATCTGCGACCATGACCAAACCACTTTTTAATCCAAAAGCTGTAAGCCAACTTGCATGTGGACATGTAGATATACATGTTATGCTTACTTTCATTCCAAATACTTCTTTAAGAACCTTAGTTTCATTATTTAAGATATTCCATATTACAATATTGCCATCATCAGATACACTTATTACCCTATCATCTCCTGCAAATGTAATACCAGCAATTCTATTATCAGAAACCTAAAAAGTAAGCATATGTTTGGTAAATATATTTATATAAAACGTACATATAATAATTAGTGATTGAGATAAAACTCGGTACAGTATACAATTTTTTAACCTTCCGTTACTCGCGCCAATTTTCTGTGATCGAATACTCGCGCACGGTGCAGAAGACCGGGTCCGAAAAAATGGGGTCAGTAATATTTTTTAATTTTCTTTTTTTGAAAATTGTGTACAATTATATTATTTAATGAATATATGATCATATAATTTTGTAGATATGAGTTTGTTTCAACATTATATTAGTTTAATGAAAAGTTAACTAATTTTCATTGTTATCCATTTATATATACAAAAAACTTTAAAAATTAAAAAAATACATTGAATATTGTTAAATTTGTTTACTAGGAACTTCAAGAAATTAATTCAATACACAAAAAAATCAAAAATGAAGAGTAATTGCAACAAAAAAAAATAAGAAATATTAATTAAAATTTTCATAACATGAATTACACAATGATGTAACATGTTCCAAACACAGATATTTTGTGCATGTTTGGCAGTAATATTTTGTTTTTTTATTTTTCCGCCAATGACAAACAGCACAGCGACCTTGAGTTCCAAGTGTTATGACTGGTACTTGTTCCGCTGGTAAGCCACATATCTCCCTAAGCCTCATTCTGATGGTTCTGGGTAAACTGGTAGACATAGCCAGTACTTTTTGGTAGTCACTGGTTAGTAACGGAGAGTTTTAGTAAAAATTCTTTACATGGTGTTTTAGATTCTTCATCTAGACTCGTATAAACTACAAAAGAGTTTATTCTTGCTACATTCAACAAACTAAAAAAAGGAACCATGGGCCAACGTCTTGTGGCACGGGCGCAATTATATTGCGCGCATAATTTATCTACCACATCTACTCCGCTCTTCGTTTCATTATATGTAATTATCATCTCAGGTTTACCTGTGGTAGGGTCAATATCATCTCCATGGTGCATTGTAGAGATAAGTAGGACGTTTCGATTTTTTTTGGCATATGCGAAACCAAGGTGATTCCGTCATTTTGTATAAATTCTAATGGCAACTGTTTTTTATTTTTTCGAATAGTACCCACTAAAGTTAATTTTTTTGATTTAAGGCTATCAGCTGGAGACACACTACAAAACCAATTATCTACAGTAACATTCCTATTCTCGTTCCTAGAAACGAATGGATCCGTAATAAAACAAAAGTGAAAGATGTCTCAACCCAAGTAACAAAGCTTAAATGGAAGTTCGCCGGACACACCCTAAGGCAGAAAGATGAAAAATGGACTAAAACAATTATACATTGGAGACCATGGAATCACAAACGTAAAAGGGGAAGGCCACAAATGCGATGGTCAGATGACCTGAAGAAACACGCCGGGTCAAAATGGATGCAAATTGCCCAAGATAGAGAGGCATGGAAGAAGGAGGAGGAGGCCTATATCCAAGGATGGATTTTAAGGGCTGTATAGATAGATATAACATTCCTATTACTCCCATAAATGTGTGCACAAAGTCTTTCTACTACGTCTTGCGTCGCTGTACTAACTTGAAAAGGGCCATTTGGTTGTTTTCCGACGTAAGCTTCTAAGTGGCTGGTATAGAATTGTTTTGCATCGGAAATGGCAACAATTTTTATACCATATTTATTCGGTTTGCTAGGAATATATTGTCTGAAACTACAATTTCCTCTAAAAGCTTCTAGTTTCTCATCTATGGTAACATAACCAGAATGAGAATAGCATTTTTTAATGTTGCTGTTAAATTTTTCTAACAATGTTCGTATTGGAGCCAGTTTATCTACCTGTATTCTTTCATGTCTCGTGTGAATGTTATCAAATCGCAGACATTGCAAAAGAAATTGAAATCGAGGCTTACTCATTACAAGTCGAAAAGTTTCAATGCCAGTGCCATCTGTTCTCCAGAGATCCTCTAAATTCATGTGATTTGCTTTTCTAATACCAGCAAGATAAAGGAGACCAATTAGGACTTTGATTTCGACAATGTCGGTAGGTTTCGCATCTCTTTGTCTACTGTAGTCATCTGTAACACTCTGAATTTTTATATTTGTACAGTCAACAACTAGATTTAGCATTTCTTCATGAAAAATGCAATTCCAGATGTCAATAGGTGTTGAGTGAGTTTTAACAAATTGTTTTATAGCTGGCAATCGTACAAATATATTGGTACTGCGTGTTCTTACATTCTTCGGTGGACAATGTTTTTTCCACTTTGTTAATTTATCTTTACCCATAAAGTACGGCTCCCTTCTGAAACTAACATTTTCTTCCTCTGTTTGATCAGCTTCAAATTCCTGTTCAGTATCACTACATTCAGATCGTTCTTCTACATGGTCAATTTCATTTTGTTGATCATCATCTTCATACGTTTTCCTTCAGTCGATACTTCCTTAAATAATTTTAATAATCTCTTTTTCTCCTTCTCGTAATCCATATTCATATATCTATAAATATACAAATATATAAACATTGAAAATAATAAAAAGAACTTAAATCACCTTGCAGAGTAAAACTTTCAATTTCTGATCCAAAGCACAAAAATGTGTCCACAATACTCACACCCGGTGTACCGGACCGTGTTGCCTAATAATAAAATTATAATGCTCTTTTTTACACTACACACAGACTTCAACGATAAGTGACCGACGACTGAAGAGGTACATGAAGCAGCAATTCCAAATCCCCACTACAATCAGAGTTACTTGAAATTATTACAGGGCCGGCCTCATACACCGTGCGCGAGTAACGGAAGGTTAAGTAAGAAATTTTTCAACTACCATATACGTTATTCAGTATGTGCAACAAAGATAATACTTAAGGCGGTGTGTCACAATGTTAAAATTTATATACTTTTTAGGTACAGTTATCGCCACTATTTCAAAACAAATCTTCAAGTTATGATTATGTACGTAAACTGTAAACTTTCTATTTTAATGATATCCAGTTAACATTTCCAAAAACAGCAGTATTTTTTTCATAACTGTACTTAAATGAATCCACATCATTACTTACGTGGTAACGTGCCTAAAAATTGGTATTGTGAAATAATTATTGAACTTGGGTGCAAAATAACTACGTTAAATGATTAACTATCCAAAAACCTTTATTTTAAGCAAATGTTTGTTATCCATACTGCCGTAATTTTTAAATTAACTGTACCTAAAGATAAAATTACAATTAAAAGCTGCAAACTAGGGATTTTGTTGATGTTACCGTAATAAGTTGGCATTTTGATAGTGAGAAATTAGTTCAGCTATCACTTAACAGATGGGAAAATATGTTCACGTGTCATTTAGTAGAAGGCAGCAGTGATGTATTAAATAGCGATAGATGCGCGTTTGCCGAATTTAAGAAAAATCTGCAAAACATTGAAAACTAGTTTTGTGGTTATTCCAATTGTCTATGAGTTATGCAGTAACCATAGTAACGAATCACGTGGTTTTGTTAACAAGGCGACCCCTCCCAGTAGTTGATATTGTGGCTTTGTTTGACTTTCTATGTTCAATCATGCTTATAAGGGAACAATGTCTTAAATATACAAGTACACCATTTTTTTCCTTGGCACCCTGACGTTATATATTCGTGGTTGAAAGTCAAACTATGGTCAGTAAAGTTTACTGTGGGATTATATTGGTTATGCATAATATATAAACATAAAAACAATTCGTTTTATTAAATTTTTAACAAATTTAATTTTTATAGACAAAACAATATTATAATGTAATGATCGATTAAATTTTGTCGATTAATTATTTCCGGAAGAAAATAAGATTATTGATATTTACTTGAATATTTACTTGAGTCATAATTAGAAATGAGATGGAAATCTGAAATTTTCTGAGGAAAACACTTCCCCTGTTGACATTCGATATGAAAAAATTGTTATTATATATAATATAATATTATAATAATTATTATAAATATACATATTATTAATAATTAATGTTATATATATATTTTAGCAGATAAACTCCAATGATATTGATGATTTGAATAACCTTATTACCGAAACAGTGAATAAAAGCCTTCTGCAACTGAAAAAACCAAAAACAACATACAATAAATTAGACAAAGAAATATTACAACAAATAGAAAGAAGGAAGATCTTAAATCAATCTATCAAAAGGGGAACCGACGAATATAGAGAACTTAATAAGCAGATTAGAAAAGGAATGAGACAACAAAAAAGAAAAGAAAACGAAAAATTAATAACAACAACTATTGAAAAAAATAAGAGTATGAAATCCCTCAGACCGACACTAGGACGACGTCAGATGATATCATTAATGAGAAAAGACGAAAATGAAATCAATACTAGAGAAAACATACTGACACGAATAGAACTATTTTACACAGAACTTTACAGAACACATCAACAAGATGATGAGATGAGACCAGCACGGAAATTAAAAAAAAATGTTGGATTAGAAATAATGCCAAAAGTAACAATTTTAGAGGTACCTACAGCATTGGAAAACATAAAGAGAAATAAAGCTGCAGGAGAAGGAGGTAAGGAACTAATTGCAATTGTAACTAAGCTTGTGGACAGTTGTTTACATCAGGGCAAAGTCCCTAAGAGCTGGAACAACTCTAAAGTAATCTTATTACACAAGAAAGGTGATAGTCGAAAATTGGAAAACTACAAACCCATCAGCCTATTATCACACCTGTTTAAAATGCTCACCCAAGTCATAACTACTCGACTAACAAGTAAATTAGACGAATACCAACCATGTGAACAGGCAAGTTTTAGAAAAGGCTATTCAACTTCCGATCACCTGTTAACCACAAAAATATTAATAGAAAAATGTAACGAATACAAGTTTCCAGTTTTCCTAGCATTTGTAGACTACGAAAAAGCTTTCGATACCATAGAACACACGGCCGTAATAAACGCAATGCAAAATTGTAGAATAGACAGCAGATATATTAACTTAATAAAAGAAACTATGAACCAAGCTACAGCTACATA